ACAAATAAGGTGGTCTATGTTTTAATATTTTTCATATACATATGTTGATCGAATTTTCAATTTTTTCATAGTTATTAGTGAGTATTGAATTCCCTAAAACGATTTTTTAAAACCTTGCATTTTGCTATATAAGAAGCAGAAAAGTCCCGAAAGGGAGTGGGTTTGTACTGAAAAGCGGTCATCATTTTTTTTTTTTTTTTTATTATTATTATTTTTTATTGTACAGTCTTGATTAACAAACATTTGTAAAGATTGCCGAATATTTAAAAAAAAACTGATGTAGATGGTGCTTTAAAAAAAAGATGCAAAAATATTATCGCTCAGTGCACTATTTAAGGCTTAGTTAATGATTAATGTCACACCCGCAATATAATTTTTGGAAGAGCAAATAAATGCAGTAAGACTGCAACAGATATTTCGAATGGATGTAAGTATGAAAAAACCATCCGCTACGAAACCAGAAAATCTGTAAATGTTTGGGCGTAATCGGCGGTCACTTGTTTATGAAACTGGACGAGCGCGTGGAATTATTACTAAATAGTACAGCAATGTCTTTGTCGTCGAGGTAATAGAGTAGAAAACAAAAGTACATAAAGTAACATTTTCCTTTGGTAAAAGAGAGTAAATCAGCGTTTGTTACGTGAAATGAGCAAACATCAGTATTTAACAGGATAGAAACCGGTTTTGATGTGAACAGGGGAGTAAGATTTTGAATTCAGTGTTAGATTTGTAGGGTGTTTTGAAACTAGATATTATAAAACATGTACCTGCAGGAATCCTTTTATGAACATGACCTTACCAAGGGACAAAGACATTATATGAACATTATATTGGATTCCTTGTAGGAAAATGATCGTACGGAGATACCATTATGTCGGGATTCGGTGATGTTGTAATGTAACGCTGACGTCATCGATGAACTGTCTTTTTTTTTTTTTTTTTTTTTATGATTAATATCAAATGAGAGGAATGGCATCTATATTTAGAAGAGTAAAATTGCTATGACGTACATAGTTCGATACATATATATCGAACTATGTACGCCAAAGCATTATATATATAACGCATTGTGCGTTAATAACTACATCTTATGCAGCCCATACATACAACTACAGATATTCCAGCCTCACACACACGCAATAAAAGATAAAATCCCTGACTGAAAGTGTCGTAAGGTAATGTTCCTTTATTGTGATGAGAAATACGAATTTGATTTAAGTAAAGTTATAAAAGTGTTTGATAGAAATGTTAAAAGACTATTAACTCAAGTTTATCGATATTTCAATTTTCTTTATCACACTCTCAGAAGTAGACCATGCACTTAGAATGATGTGAACAAGGCGGTAATTACATACTGTTTGCGATAAATAACGCTGTTTCAACTTCTTGGAAAATTTCATTAATTTGCTTAAAAGTTTGATCTTGGTGGTAAGATCTTCCAACAGATATTGCCATACCTATCAGAACCAACTGCGCCTCTCCTTGCCAAGTCGTTTGATTTCATCTTCAGATATATTGATGACGTCTTGATTTTTAATACCAAGAAATCTATTGACTACGTCAATGGTGTATATTCACTAGAGCCTGAAATCAAGGACATGATAGACTCTTCTACATCAGCTGCTTATCTCGATGTTTTCCTACAACGAAACCATGGATAGATTTCCATCAAGCTGTATGATAATCGTGATAATTTCAATATCAGTTGATTCGCTAGTTAAGGGCCTGTATCCATTTTCACGATTTTCGTGTAAGAAGTCGTCAACTGACTGACAAGCTCGTAACACAAGGGTTAAAAAAAAGCAGGTTGATGAAAATTATTTTATGGTCGCCATTGTGATCTGATTGAAAAATATTATGTTTCTTTGTGTGACATAAATATAGCCTATTTGATGCTCGTTAGTTTGTCTGTTGGTCCCGTTTTTGTATACCTTGTTATAATTAAAATTTTAAATTCAGATTTCCAACTCCAACCCCCTATCCCTTTAATGCCTTTACTACAGTTTGTGGGATATTTATTCTACACTCTAAAAATGCCCAGCTACACAATTTGTTTTTCATTTGTTCATCTTTTAATCACATGATAATATATATATATGTATGTCTGAATTCATGATAATGTGTATGTCAGCATAACTGGCATTTAATAATAAATAAATACACAATATTCCAAGACTGAGAGGGAACGAAACAATAGCAGTTTAAAGGTAAACATCCAAACAAAGACAGAAAACGACCAGAAACAAGGGAAAACGTAGGGAGTGATATCTGAATGATAGACAGAAGTAGGGACAGACTGTAGAGTCCCTAGACCAGAAAAGATGCATAATGGAGTCACAGAGGAGACGTCAAATTGCAAGAATTATCAGAAAAAACCCATGCCATTAATCTTCCTGGAGACGACATTAGGTCTTCAGAGCAGATCTGTGTATCTATGGAGGCAAAAGTACATAAGTCATTTACTGACGATAGATATAGAAAAGTCCATGAATCATATATGACTCCAGTTCTTTGCTCCAAATGTTGTCTAGTGATCGCACAACTAATGTTAATGCAGATAGAGGGGAAATTCTATGAACATACAAATAAAGAACAGAAATTTCATTTGTTTATGCAGTCGGGCAAGTTTAAATCTATACCAGGGACGTCAATCAGCAATTTACATGTATAAATATTATGCAGCCAGCTATAGAACAGATAAGATCAAAATAGCCTACAATTATACTATTCCTTGCTACTTAAAACCGATAATAACACAAATTCTACAAAACAATATTCATATGTGTGATAATTGCATCTCGCGCTCCATCTATCTGTCTGTCTGTTTGTCCGTCTGCCTGTCTGTCTTTCTGGCTAGCTGGCTGGCTGGCTGGCCCAATGATAATACATTACACTGGTATTAATCAATATATTACAACACAAGGTCGGTCTAAGGTATCCAGTGAGCAGCTTCATTTGTGCTTGTAAATATTGAAAATTGGAGTGTTTCTACTGTTAAGAAGGTTCAGCACAATAATATGGCATAAATCGATTTATTTATATTACCAGTCAAATATGTGTAAACGATCTGGGTTTTGAACATTTTCGTTTTGTATCAATTTCCACGTGTATGTCTAGTAAACCTTAATGCTGGTTGCCACAAATGTAACACATTCCTGCCAAGCGCCGCGACATGAATCGAACCTTGGTCTGCGACGTGATAATTCTCGGCTCTGCCAACTGAGCCGATGAAGCATGCTCTGTCCGCTGAGTGACTATTTTTTTATACAGATGTTAAAGTAATATCAACCTATAACATATATATGATCAAAACACAAAGTAGACTTCCATATTCGATGTATATTTTGATCACCATAGCTACTTAGGTCAGTCCTTATGCATCGTCTTCAAGTAGAGAAGGATAATACGTGTAGGTATTGGCAACTAAGAAATCATCTGGTTATTACCGCATATGGCTTCCATAGTTTCATCACCTTGTCAGTTTAACTTAATTTTACTTAGTTTACAACAAATGCGCGAGGACTGTTGGAGTACCCGGAAAAACCCAAGTCAGGAAAATCCATGCTTTTTCACGTCCGTGCAGGGGATCCATCCGCGAACGCCTAAGTGAAATGCGAAGGAATTATCTGTGTGATGTGCGATAACCCGCTTTGTTTCATTAATGTATACTTGGCTTTAAGGTAGGAATCACCCATATCGAAGATTGTACTTAATTCTGTTCGCTGTAATAAACATATTATCATCAAATCAACATGATATGTAGAAATGTTTTAAGCATCTAACAGAACGCTACACATTTAATAAGGAATGAAATTTATAGAACCGGAAGTGCCGTATCATTTTAAGCAGACGTGCTCAAAGAGGCATTCACAACGTCTGCAAGGAATAATTTTAACTTCCTCTTATCAACAGGTTTATCTTCAAATATCCAGAACATGTTATTTGATCAAGTAGATTAATTAATGTCAATATAGAGTATATCTACCACACCCTTGTTGCAATTCTTGCTCCCGTAGTCTCATATCATTGACCAAGCGCAGAAGCTTGTGCTTAGGAAAACTTCCGCAACTCCTGAATCAATGCTACCTGTATGTCTCAATATGTGTTCGTCCCATACATGCTCAATTGTGCAGTGATATTGCTGGCGGATAGATAGTCTCTATCCTTTATTTTTCGAAAATAATCTTGAAATGGTCTAGTTCTGTTTAGTTTTACACTGTTATCCATTATGTCAAGAGATGGACGTCGGGAAACAGAACATCTGACGGGCGAATAATCGGATCACAGTACTTCTTCCAACTTAAGCATTAATCAAGGACACCAGAACAGTGTCCCATCGCCAAATCCGAATATTCCATGTCCGGTAATCACGTGCCCATTGCAGTCTTGTTTGTTTGTGCCTTCATGTTAACAGAAAACGTTTTACTGGTCGGAGAGAGCGAAACCATCTGTTGTTTGAACGTATGTTGACAGTATTCCGGCAAACGTTCACATTCTACCGTCTTCTGATCCTGTTGGCAGTGATGAATTGGGCTCGTCTTGTCTATCAAGAAATCTATCTATAAACTTTCGAAGTCTCCCAGACCTGAACCGTCAACTTACCGGGTTTGGTTTAAATGCTGTATCAACCGTGAAATAATAGAATGATTGATACTAAACCCTGCAGCTAGTTGATTTTTTGTCATTCCTTCTTGAACCAGTCCATAAACTTGCAATCCTCCAGCATTCGTCAATTTTTGACATCTCATTTTCAAATCTAGGATGGTCATGTGTAAGCTTTACCAGTAATAGAAATATACAGTTAATTTAAGAATTAATAAAATCACAAAAATTATCATTACAATGCATTCATGTGCCTTCAATGTAAAATCATGCTCTTTTCGTTACGGCTAAAGACTGAGTAGACCAAGGAAGCCTCTCCAAAAATTAGCAACCGGAATAATCTCGGTATATATACCTCGCAGAATTAAACAAGTACACGGTATCCTTTTTTGTTCCAGACCTTCAACAAGCCTTTGGTATGTTTAAGACATCACGAAAGGGTAAAATATCGGCACGAGACTTGGGTCCTATGTTAAGGTGCTTGGGTTGGAATCCATCGGAACGAGATTTGGAAGAGGCCCGACAAGAGCTTGATGTCAGTGGTAAGGACATCCTTATCGTTATCGTAGTACGAACCTATGATCATGACTCAACATGTTATACCGAACATGAATTGTACAAATGACAAAAGAAATGATTATACAAGTATATATTGAATAGGGTGTATTAAAGTTTTTTTGTAAGGCTCTTTAACATGCTCCTGTACATTCGTTGTCTGCGTGTTCGACGTAAGCATAGAACTGCAAAGTGAATTCATTTAAGACATTCCTTGGTCTCAATTTGATGTAGTTAAACAACTTAAGTGAGTGAATTTACTACAAGTAATACTGCTAATTGGACAAGGAAAACCATGCCACGTAGCGCAATTGATTACCTTTCCCTTCTTTCTGAGTCTGTCGGGAGATATTTTACTTAAACTGTATCGTATCTTCAATTCAAGATGTCGTTGGTTATATACCGGTGTGAATAAAAACATGTTTTAGAGAAACTAAGCTATGCATTTCGCTTCTTTCAAATGACATAAAACAGATGTGTTTGTGAAATTTAATGCCCTAAAATTAAAAACAATTCTGAAGTGGAACTTTAAAACTGTACTATGAATACTAATGCTAATTGTAAACACATTTTCTACATAAAATTATATTTGTTTATATGTTAATGTTGACTGCAATTTAAAGTTCGAATCTAATTTGACATCATTTCATACGACCGTAATGTATTGTCTATATAAATTAATAAATAAGTACACAGATAAGACAGATAAATAGATCAATATATCAATATACCAAAGTCAGACGAAAATGAGACAAGTACATATTCATTTTACAGCTAGCGGACGGATTACATACGCCGACGTGGAGAAATATGTCTCTCGTCATGGTGGTATTTGTCATCGGACAGAAGAGGAAGAAGAAGATGTTTTAGGGGCTTTTAAGGTCCTAGATAAATTAGGGACAGGTAAAATACCAGTGAAGGACTTCAGAAGGTACCTGACAACAATGGGTGACAAAATGGCGCCCGACGAAGTAGAAGAAATTATTCGTTACGCAAAAAAGGACAGCAGAGGGTATATTGAATACAGAGGTGAGTGTCGTTTGCAGATATAAGTCGTAAAAAGACTTTTTAGAATATAGAGGAAAATGTCGTTGGTAGACATTTAGCGGAAATCGTGTTTTAAATTTGTACGATAACAGACCGTAAAACCATGTACCATATACAGAGGTAAGTGTCAATCATAGAGATTTACTGAACGACATATTTTCGTGGGTCTCAACGTTCGTGGTTTCTCTCGAAAATACTTTTTTCGTGGGCATTGCTTGATCTAACGATTCATTACGACGATTTAACAGTTTACTAATCCATAGTTAGGTTTACCCATGATGCAAATTCATATAACAGAAACCCACGAAAATTCAATAGTATACAGTAATAAAACTTTCATAAAGGGAAACAATTTTCCTTTAAATAATAGTGTAGCATTATTACTATTGACCAAGTTAATACTAGGTCCAAAGTACTTATATATCTCAAATATATTCATACAAAAATCCCAAAGCTTTCCACGAAGTTGTATGATGCATGCAGTGATTTCTATTTTCCTATTGTGAAATTTTCATTTCTTATTCGCAACCTCCCTGCAAACCCCACCTATAAAGTTTACATGGCGCAGTTGATTCGATATTCAAGGGCCCGTTCCCATTTTTACGTTTTCGTGCAAGTAGTCGTCAATTAACAGACCAACTCGTAAACACAAGATGTCAAAAGATTGAAGATTGTAAGTTTTACGGTCGTCATAGTAATCTCATTGAGAAGTATTCTATTTCTTTCTGCGATATGGAGCTGGGCGTGATCGATCCTCGTTCGTTTGTCTGTTGGTCCCGTTATCATATACTTTGTTCTCATTTGAGAACGTGACATTACTTATTTTGTTTGACCAAGGTTTAAATGGCTGGTGTAGTGAATGAAGCAGAATACACTTATTCTTCCGGAACACCTGGTTTTATTCTCTACAAATGTTTTCAGGATTCTCCGTGTAAGTTTATTATTTTCTTTTCAGATCTCATTAGAGAACTCCATTCCAGTCCCTGATGATGATGATGATGATGATGATGATGATGATGATGATGATGATGATGATGGTGATGATGATGTCACATTGTGGTTTTGTTGTTGCCCCAACATTTCTCATATATGATATCGGTTCCTGCGCATGTCCAACATTATGTAGTTGATCGTGAAGTTATATAATATGATGCTACATGTGTTAAGTAGAAGACACGATACATCTTGCTGATAAGGTGTATATATTGTAGATACACATATATGTATGTCACCAATTCTATATTATCGACAGTAATACCAACAAAGTGTTGTCCTAGCAACTTTGACAGATAATGTAATTCATTGAAGACATGATATTCCATTCCATAGGAAACAGCTGGATATTATAAATATTAGCGGGAACATAAGTTATTTTAATGGATAATTTTACATGTATATATCATCTATACACTGAAAGGAAAATAATACTATCGGTTTGTAGTAAACATACAAATAACTAATATGACATCATTATTAATATCATTTTGTTTAAGTCAGAGTGAGGGTAACTGATTTCCTATATCTATGGAAAAAGATATATCTCTTTATATGTTTTGACAAAATCAATATGAACTATTCATGAAAGAGATCATATGAAAATTCTCATCTCAGGAATTTTTGATAAAATATCCAGTTCTTTTTTTTTTAATTTTAATATGATCGTGAATTATAAAATTTCATTGTTGTTCATAATTAAAGCAGACAAAAAAGTTAAATGGAATGTTTACATGTTGCTGTTCGAACCTTTATCTCTTTTGTGGTGCCACGTAACGCAGTTTCTACACAAATCAATCAGTGGACATTTTGTCTATGCATATCAAAAGTTAAGAGAAATGCATATCTCGTTTTCTAGAAGAAACAAATTGTATTTTCATTATGCAAAAATGTTGTTGAATAGGAGACACCTTTGCATTTGAACAATTAATATCGTTCTTAGATGATTTTGTTTTTTTCAAATTGACCTTTTAAATTATTCTAACAATGGTGTAAATGTTCTGGAGTGACTTAATATTTCGTTTCCAAGAATACAACTTGTTCCGTGTTAGAAACCCGTTTGAATGAAGTCTTATTTTTGTATTTTTGAGGACTCAAAGATATTCAATGGACAGAAATATCTTCAGAACATACACATTTACTTGACGGACTTCTTAAATTACCAAAAAATATGAAATCAACCTTATTTGTTAAAATATGGCCTAAGTGCACCTTGTTATCTGATTTTTCACATTTGTTTCGATTACTTCGGATTTTTCTTGGTAGCCCCTCGTCTTCAAAATTTAGGCATTTATCATCACTGACGAGTCCTAGAAAGATGAATCAGTTGTTTGATGCAGTTAAATTCACTGTGTTTAACGTTTCTTACTTTAAATTTGAATTAAAACGTGTTTATTATTTGTGCTGCTTATCTTAATGTTCCTTAATGGGGTGGCGTGGTTCTTGCCAAAACCAACAATCTGTGAGATAGCTGGTTTCAGTTGAATTGCAAACAGTAGTATAACATTCGTAAGAAAAAAAACATCAATAGAAACCTTCACTTTATCATTATTATTATTGTAAACAAAAGTCCTGAATACGTCATTAAAAACGATAGATGTTTATTTAAATAAATAGATAAAAATATAATTTGATCTTAACCAGATCATATCAGAGCAGGTACGTCATGGAGACGACAAGAAAACACCAACATGTCAACTGTATCATAATCTGAACAAAAATTCAATAAAACTAAATTAAAACACGGAGACACCTTAAAAAGTACTAGGATAATAAGACAAGGTGTTCAAGGATAGTAAGCGTCTTCTACTTCATCGACGACACTCGCCCTTACCTGACTTTCGAATAAGTTATAACATTTTGAAATCATTCTGTGTTTTTTCTTACTAATAAGTAATATCTTCATTTTCTAAACCTTACATCTCATGTCCTCGGGTGTCTTCAGATGATTCAGATTTTGGTGTATAGCTGCCACTGACAGAAAAATAAGATTGACTATACTGAACAATACATGATATTCTCGCAAAGTGCATACGAAAACGACAACTTGTTGCATATCAATTAAATCTGCATATGCTGAATAATGCATTTCGTTGCATTATACCACTGTTTTGTACTTCTCATACTGATTGGTAATGTTAAAGACCTTAAACATAGATATGGAGTGTTGTTATAGAATTATTTCTCATGAGGACTTTGTTTTACTTTAATTTGTGGTTAACTTTTCTTCACAAATTTATATGTCAAAAACAAAAATAAATAAATAAATAAGAAAAAAACAAATGAAAAGTTCATATGAATTTTGGTGCTGCAGGATTTTAAACGATTTATCCACAAAATCAGTGTTTACATTGTAGACCACGAAATCTAAACCAACGAAAAGATAGAATGATACACCAGGTGATATGAGGCATATGATTTTAAACAAAGATATGTGACGTTAATTTATGTGTATACTAATTACTGATTTAAATCATTAAAACCATGAAACCATTAATGCACTCTAGAATTTTTTAAATCTAATATTTGTAACTATTTGAAAAACAAAATGTAAATGGTAAATTGGATTACGTATATGTATCTGACATTGATATTGATTATATGATAAAGGCTGCAGTGTTTTCAAAGTTTCTTTTCTTAAATAAAACATGTAAGAGCCGACCAATGGAAAATTGTAAAATTTTATCGTTTATTTTCTTATTCTTATTTATTTCTATCCATTATTCTTTTTTTATTTATTTTTGTTCTTCAATCTATGGCGTTTATTTCATGCAACGCAATATATTTCTTTCTTATTCGGTTGTCATAAATATCACATTGTGTACGAAATATCATTGGAACGGCGACCAGTTGTAACGTTCTCTGTATTGTACAGAATTCATGAATATTATACACATGAAACTGGTTGTATGTATTTTCAACGATGTGTAGTTTCATCATATATTGATGTATCACTTATTTGCACTTCTGATTGTATATGGTTGTTTTATACACCTTTGACACAATAAATTTCTTTTTATATCTACAAATGTCATTTTTCTTTTCTTTTACCTTCAACATAATTTGTTCAGCTTGCTCTCTTCAAACGAAACTTTAAAAAATATTTCAAATGTATGCGAAAATGATATTTATCAATTCTTATACAGCAACTGTATATTGAATATATGAAATACAATTTAAAAAATCTATTGGACCATCAAACATGAACATGAGAAATTAGAATTTATTAACTTATTAACGATTGGTTAAGACTTGGTTTCCACAACAATATGTCGGTGCAATAAAATGAAGGAACAATTTGAAGAACACCATCATCACCTTAACGATCTTACTTTTACTCTCAAATACGTCGTTAATGAAACAAAGACGTTTACCTTTTCGGATCACTTTGTCTTATAAATCAGTTATCAGTCTGAGCGAAAAAAATATAAAAATGTCGACATTTTTACAATCTTCTATATGATACAAAAGACCATATAATTTTGTACTGAATGGAGTCCCATAATAGTGATGTGCCCAGTATCGTAATGTTGTTGGATGCTTTCTTGCATATTACAATGATTTTCAAACAAAAATGATTACACTTTCGTACCAAGCCTTTCAAACCCAATGTACCTTGTCTTCAAACCACCGTGTTTATCTACGAAACTTACAGAAACGGCAAATTGAATGCTGAACACAGGAAAAAAGCGCCAGGGAACGGCAGCGTCTGCGGCGCGGTAGCCATGGTATTGGAAGCAATTTTGTAGATGACAGTCACCAAACAGTAACATATTTTCAGAAAAAGCAACACCTGTCGTTTGAAAAGTATCATAAACTTTGTTTATTTAAAAGAATGAAATGACTTTGAATTGACATCCATACTGATGCAAATATAACTGATACAGTTTTTAGGCAGGGTATCTCTTTTTTTGTTGGCAAATTTAAACCACCATCATTTTACAAATGACGTAGCTGTGCCCCTAAACGCTGCTTACAAGTAAAGTAAATCTGACTTGTAAAGGTAAAAAAATAAAAGATAAAACAACAACATAGAATCCGTGACTTGAAAAATTGATATTTCCTGTTCGTTTTCAGGTAAGCAATATGTAATCAAATTAATTGGAATAACATATGATATCGTATACGTCATGTTAAGTAAGTTTTAACCGTATTGTTCCTACTTTTAAACAATACACTAGGAATAAACTACATTATATCAAACAATAAAAACACAGTTTTTGTAAAATCTGATCAATTTCAAGAAAGAATTATATTCGATCCTAATCATATTATATAGAACCGTTATTCATCCAACATGTCTGTAACACAATGGAATCAAACATTACATTAGGATACAGACATTAATAGCTTAGCATACAAATTCAGTTTTCATCACAGTATGTTTCAAAAATCTGAAATGAAATTTGAATGCGGATGCTTAGCCATGAACTCTATATGGTAAACACGCAAAACAAATTCTTTTGGGAGAGAGGGTGTAACATGTCAAAAACTTCTAACATGTAAGTTTAAGAAATACTATTCATTTATTTGGAAATAGAGTGTAAACTTTAACTGAAAGTCCATGTCGGACGCTAAGAAGTATTGGACATCTATGATTGGAACAGCAATGTCGAGAACACATGGTCAGTGTCTTAAGATATAAGCTGAATTTTGGGTTGGGCGAAACAAGACAAATGTCTAAAGAGCCACTTTTGTATTTCGTTCCCTACCCAAATTCTTGTTTTATTATAAGAGATTCATTCCATGTATTCTGCAACATTTATTGAAATTTCAGACTATCTGAACTCCTGTTCAGTATTTGTTTACCAAATGTTCCGCTATAAATATTGATTTTTCATTACAACAGATAAAATCGCTTTTCTTAACCGTTATTCATATGTTTAAATATAACACTTACGAAAATCATAGTGAACATATTTTCAATGCGAAAGGAATCCCACTGAGAACTTGAATGTACTTAAATTTGACATAAACGTACATGCTGCTTATCACTTTTGGGATATTGAATATAACAGTATACCTAGGCCTATAATCATAGTGAACATATTTTCAATGCGAAAGGAATCCCACTGAGAACTTGAATGTACTTAAATTTGACATAAACGTACATGCTGCTTATCACTTTTGGGATATTGAATATAACAGTATACCTAGGCCTATAATCTGTGTGTTTGTTAAAAGAATTGCGATGTTAACTAATTGTTTAGTCATATTTTCTACCGAATGTTAAGAAGTCGCACAAACCATACGTTTAGGTTAATCACACGGACTAATGTAATTATCATTTTTCTGTTAATTTTTCAACATTTCTTACTTGTTTAAGTAATTCCAGTGAGATTACCATGACAAATTAGTATACAGTCATTTACTTAGCCAATCCAAATTACCTTAACCTGAGACCATGTCATTTAACAGCAATTATAAAGAAAACAAACATACAAAAATCAACACCTGGAATAACCGAAAAGGGAGATAATTGTGAAAAGCCTAATTACCAGCCGAAAAGTAATCTTACTTTTTCTAAGTCACTACTCCTGTTAAGGATATCAGCAAACATTGCTCATTTTCTTGTGAGTTTGACTATTGACTGATGTATATGCAACCCAGGTTTGCAACAAAATTTAAGAAATTACCAACATATCAACCAAATTATAAGCCAAACTCAAATTCAATAAAACTAAGGCAAAATATGAACAAAAGAAAGATTTTCATGACGACTCATGAAATCTCTTTTTGCTTCATGGATGGCATCCCTCATATTAATCAGACACAGGCTACCTTGTTTATAAGCATTTCCTTTAAAAGGGAAACAACTCAAATGTATTTAATGTGTCTTAATATTTTAAAATAAACTTAAGTTTATTTTGGAAAAAAGCTTATTAAAAATAAATTTAAAGGATAAATTTATGAAAGATTTTTAGACTGTAAATACATATGATATATAATTATGAAAGAATAGGTCACCACTTTTCAAATATCGCTGTGCTTATCTATGAACAACCTATTCCATCCAACACGACTGATGGTTAAAAGCAATATATATAAATTTTCAAGTTGCAAAACCACTGGAGGTTTTAATGGGCGTAACGGAATTCAACGTATTATATATATGTGTTGATAATTATTTTATTCATATATGATACAGTTAGGAACCTCTTTATCATGTTGTGGGAAGACTATTTCTGCTGGATAGGTTGGAAAGAGGGAAAGTTGATTGAACTAAGGTTTGTATGTACACAGGAACCTGACTAGTATCGGAACGAAGAACATATTTTATGGGACAAACTTCAGGCATGTTGATAGAGATCAGTCAATAACACTCGCTCAAGTGTCTGTGCAGAACTATGAAGGGATAAGAATAAATAACGTGATTATCAATACATTAATAAACGGAGAGTTAGAAGAAAAGCATACTATCGTTTTGTTAGGTGTGGCTCGGAATGCTAGAGAAATGGAGAACAATAGAACAATATTGTAGGGGAACTGTCGTGGTAATCAATGATAGTACCAGAATAGAACAGAAGGACTAAAGCAACTCCAGGAAGATTCGAGTACAATAGAAGACTTTCATCTCGCCTTTCACCTAGCCGACCGGGGTTCGATCCCCGGAACGGACGTGAAAAGGTAAGGGGTCACCTGCCCGACCACGTGGGTTTTTTTCCGGGTACTCCTGTTTCCTCCCACAATAAGACCCCTCGCTCTTACATCTGAGTGATTAGTACAAGTTGATATAACTTGTTTCGCAATTGTTGTAAAATAAATTAAGTTTATATTTATAACATTTTCATACTTGATTGGGATTAACGGCCGATTTTGTATCGTGTTAAATGCTAGAAAATTTACTATCTTTAATAGTTGTCAATTAATTATACATTCCGTTTTCTTTTTAAAATAAATAAAGTATGTAGTACTACAACGAAAAACCAATTTTAGAGTTCTGTCATACTATAACAATTGAACACCATATTACATAATATTGTAATTAAGTTATATACAGTCAAGTTTCATTATCTCAGCGAGACCGTAGGAAAACCTAGTATTTGAGTTTAGAGAGTTCGAAAGCTAAGCGAGGAATTTGGCTTGGGCCATTGAAGTACTTCGAATTTAACAGGGTCGTCGAGTGACATGAGTTCGATATAACGCGGTTGAACTGTACTTGAAGTTATAACAGTTTACAGTTTATTTATTTTTACACTGTCTTATATATGTAGCCCAATTGTCAGTTGAAGTATATATGTTGTATTGAATCCCGTGCACATGATTTTCTTTAGGTATTCATATGACCTTCGCTATTGGGAGGTCGTACGATTTTTAACAGAACATAAACAATGCAATTCAAGGCTCCAATGTATATTTATTTAGACTGAATTGCAGTCACGTGCGGTTGATCAGCTGGTGTCGAGGCACAGATATAGAAGTCAGATGATGACCAATATCGACCAACATGTCTATAAATGTGGACGACGACGAAACGAGAAGGCTTCTTCAATATGGAGCATCAGAAAATGAACCGTACGTCCAGACTCAAAAACATGTCCCTCCACATAAAGGTATGTTATAACATAAATGATTATAATTATAACAAAAATATATGTCTGTTGTTAAAAGGCATCATTTTCACAGGAAAATCTGTATATCTGAAAGAGTATTTTTCTAATTAATGGTTGAGTTTTTAAGATTATTCTGAATAATGTAAAACTCCTGACCAGCATGGATTTTAAAGTATAAATAAAACAAAATGCAACAAAGCTGACAATGTTTGCACTATTTGCCCTTGAACGCATTCTTTCTATCTGATATAGATAATAATTTATCTATGAATGTTAGAGGTTTATATCATGAAGTAATACCATAGTCTGAATTGTCAACTTGTTTATTATCAACTGTCGTACGTTTATAATGATGTAAACTAGTAGTAAAACTTAATTAGTGACAAACTATTAAATTGATGAATCAGTCTTAACGATTTATTACATATTCTAATTAAATATAATGACGCAAAAATATATCATTCACATTATGTTTCACTCGTGAACACCGGGTGCTGTTCTTCGTTAACAAATTCCCAAAAGTTCACTCCCATTAAAAACTTCTTGATTAGTTAATTGTTTCAGTAGCGGTAAACTTGTGTCTCGAAATGATATGATCGGTGACTCGACAAACTGCATATAAACATATGCATGTTTATAGTTAAAGTCACTTAGCTTCGTCCCTAAATCGTGAAATTATTGACTTATAATGCTAGTGCAACTCTTCATCTATATAGATTTTGACATTCTTTCCTTCACATTGAAGTTTTTTTTTAATCGTACCTGAGGTTAAAAAATTTGGCCCTTAACAATACAGACGAGTCCAAAGAGGACGAAACAGCTGTTATTATAATTAATTGTTAAGCTATACTGTATTTAAATCTGAAGTTGTATTCAAAGGCGCTATTCAATAGTGTGTATTTTGATACAGTCTTCCATTACTCACCAGTTATCGTTTTAGTACAGGGCTTATGCATTTATAGTTATAGTTATAGAAATACAAGAAAAAGAATCAGAAAATCAATACATGCTGTACTTTATATGGAAAGATAGACTATAATAAATTTAAACTCATTCATAAAACACAATTTTTAAAACAGGTAAATGCAGATATAAGAAAAGAAAATAGATACATAGCGTTATAATATAAAGAACCAAAGAGCAACTTGTATATATTTGTGTTAAAATATCCGTCTTACATATTTGTCATGTTTTATCGGCTTTAGGTGAAATGGTAGTGAGTTTTTTCCTTATCAGCGTTGTAGAATCCTGACTCTCCTATCTCCTTCCGTGTTCAAACTGCCATCAGCGAATACTTCACAAATCACAGTAAATTTCAACTTGCAGTTCAGTATAAAAGATGTGTGTTGTGTGATAACGATTGTGTCATTATCAGAGGCTCTTTTAAAATAGAATTGTCAATTGAGCTACTCTGTAAACAGGTACGCATGGAAGCAATCTCTCAAAGTTATCATATCCTCTTTGTTTTTCTTATAGGCTGTTCGGAATAGTCTAATCATCGTAACCGTCTTACAGTTTTGAGGAAATCTTTTATTTTGAAAAAGTTGTAAAAGTTTAGATATTTGCTCTTTCTACTTTCAAAAATATATTCAACTGCCAATTTCCTTCATTTCCCCCTGAAATCTCATGATTTTTCAACTCTGGTACACAGAATTCAAAGAAGGGAAATTACTCATTTGTAATCATGATATAACCATTTATTGATATTTGTATTTTGTTTTTTACCAGGATATGGAGCCAGACACACCCTTAGCATCCTTGCATTTTTCGGATGTTTTAACTCGTACGCGATGCGATTCAATCTTAGTGTTGCTATGGTTGCAATGGCAAACCACACAGATACTCAAACAAATTCAAATCTGACAACGGGATGTCCGAAGATGAATCAATCCAAAATTGTGAATCAGGTGAGATGTATACTTTAAAAGTAGAGAACTCTAGGTTTATAAATTAAGATCTGCATTATATTTCGATATGCTTCAGACATCGAGATATCAGTTCATAAATCAGTAACTGAATATGACCAAATATCATACTTCGTACAAAATAAGATATCTGCACTGTAAAATTTGTGACATGTTATTTATTATATCATATTGATCATCATATAGTGAATATGAAATACATTAATATCAGCTCGAGTCAAAACATTAACGTTTTGTTCAATGAATTGTCTGAGGATTGTTTTATAAATAAAATCTTTGAATAGATTAACCGTGACAATACCATCTTACCATAAACAATATATTGGTGTCATCTTTATATTTAAGGCTGTTGAGTTTGATTGGGACGAAGCCACACAGGGGTTTATATTAAGCTCATTTTTCTATGGATATGTCGCTACACAGATACCTGGGGGTTGGCTAGCAGGTAAATTTGGCGGGAAACAACTTTTTGGTCTCAGTGTCCTCATTCCAGGGATTCTAACCATCTTCACCCCTTTGGTAACTAAGCTTGGTGCAGACGCACTTATCGTTACAAGAGTTTTAGAGGGACTAGCTGAGGTATGTATTTACACCGATGTTATGTTGAATTTGAATTAGATAATGTGGAAGTTTTCAGGTAGTCATAGTGACCGCATTGAGAAAATTTCTGTTTCTTTGTGCAATATGAAAATGGACGTTAGTTTACATGTTGGTTGCATCATTTTATACTTTGTTCCCATTGGGAACGTGACATCACGTGTTTTGATTGCGACGACGCAAAAGACGCATGCTCCGCCGGAACGCTCTATCACTTTTCCTCGATTCTCCATACAAGTCTTTCTTTGTTAACCTTTTTGTCCTAATATTTGTTGAAGTCGAATTTGATTGTCTTCACTTCTCTGAATTTTCTGTGGTATTCCAACTTTTTGTTTCCTGCACGTATAACTTTCATAACTGTTGTTTCGATATAAAATACAATACATGTTACTTGTTAACGTTTGAAATTTATCGGCATGTTAACTTGAAAGTGACTATCATTCGTTTAACAAGGGTTTGACTTTCCCAGCACTGGCCACTATGCTAGGACATTGGGTACCAGAAATGGAAAGGACGATAATTCCAACATTTATCTTTACAGGTAAATAAAAGCTGAAGAGAATAAATTGTAAATAGCGAAACCTTCTCATTTAGTTTTCTCTCTTGTTATACAAAGTCATCCATATAATGGATTTTGTGTACATTATTATTGGTATTTGGCATGGCAGTAATTTCGGGAAATGTATTACATTAATTAAATCAATTCAACCTATTTACACTACCTTACATTAATATGTATAATACAAGGTAAAAAATACTGGGCTTTTTCCATTATTCATTTCCAATTTTACGACAGTAACATATCTGTGTCTACAACCTTTGTTGTTCTAAGGAACGTTACAAATATCGCGATTGTTGTGCCAGATGTCGGCAACAGAGTGACAATTTCATTACATTTGTCTTCTCTAGAGAAATTTAGGTTGATTGCTCGATATTGTTTTGGACTTGGTTGATGCTCAATATATATTACAATTGTCACAAAAACTATAAAATATCAATATTTATAAGTAATTGTGGGTAAGGTAAACAAAATATAAATCAGAGTGCATAGAATTTTCATTTTGCTTTCTCAGTAGCTTCCTTTTGCTGATCAAGTTTCGAAAAGTTCCGGACATTCATATTCAAAATTATCTGACATCAGCATCTTTGTCCAAAACCAACAGCAGCGACTATTATCCCTTCATTAATGGTGTTAGGGTTTGTTAAATCCAACCTTCCTGTTACTCTATCAAACAAATCTTTTATCGCTGTTGTATGTATCCCTATCCTTTGGCAAACATTTTAGTCGGTTACTCTGACCTAGATATAATGATAACGATAAATACACACATATACAACTGTTTCCTGACATTAACATTGGGACACCCTTGATAACCCCCGTTATGATGTAAACATAAACAGAAGGGAAAGAATATCTCGGATACATATATTGATAAAAAAAAAAGAAAAAAAAAACATAAACATGACCACAATAGATCGAATCAGAAATAAAAAGTTGATATCAATTTAAGAAACGTGGCATTGCGTACTTTGATTAACCCATACGAGCGTGTACGATTGGGCGGAATACGCTTACCCTTTTGGAACAGAGGTATCCATGATTTTTTTCCCTCGTATTTTATCCTAGTATTTGAGTTATGAAGTTTTTTTCTAATTCTAAACAGAGAGAAATATAGTCTGAGGAGCCTTAGAAAGTTATGAAAATAAAAATTACAAACAGTAGAGACAGAAGGGAAGCGATTACAACTTCATCGATGACACCGGCATACAAATATAGTTCTACCAAATGACACCAAAACTATTTTGTTTATGCAAAATTAATGATAACGACAAATGAAACGATCCCGAAGTTTTTATCAAATGCATGTCTTAAAATCTTGTTTCGTATTTATCACTTTATCTTATGATTTACATCATGGGAAGCGTGGCATCAGATACAATCTATTATTTGTGGAAATAATAATGACATATCAACAAAATAAGCAACTCAGTAGTAAAAACACACTCATCTTAGCATTGAATCTGTCTCTTACAACAATATAAAACATTTAACGATAGAATACAACTTTATGAAATTTAACGTATAAATGCGCTGAAATATGTCAGAAAGCTTTCACATTCATCCGTTTTCAACCGTCTGTCATCAAATCATCGATTTTTTTGTATTTATTTAATTGGGGGGGCTCTTGATACTAATTTTGCTCACATAAGTCACAAAAGTAACATTTTAGCAATCTTAAAGTAAAAATATTTAGGAAAAAAGCAAGGGAAGCAATTATTTTGTTGGACCATTTTCAACGTCATTGTCTATATTATAAAAAATCTCTATAACTTTTTGAGCAAAGGTATGACAAAATGACATATACAAAACTATTTTATGGTCGAATTCACTGGATAATAGACCAGTTATGTGACAAATCATTATTTGTTATTATATTTCAGCATAAGAATCTGTCGTTATAATCATATAAACATGACACTGATTTTCAGGATGCAGTTTGGGAAATGTTGTGTGCCTACCCCTAGTAGGATATTTATCAACGTCGAAAGCAATCGGCGGATGGCCCTCAAGTTTCTACATATTTGGTGAGGGGATATTTCGTTATAAACATTCTTTTAGAATTTCAATTAAATTTTGAGAATATAAGTTGCTGCTAGTTTTTAAGTTTCAATTCATTTTATAAAAGGAATATGTAGACTTAATGAATAATAATATCTACCATTAGACAAGCATTGTGTTTTAACTACTCACAAGTTTTACTGAAAACGTGCAACTGACATTCGTTTGTTTAGAGAAATTTGTATATAGAAGTTTAACATTATCAATACATCTCATCAGTAAAAAATGAAAATAATTTGATTTCAACTTGAAAACTCAATAATATATTTGAGATGAGTAAGCTTTGTTCCCAGTGTGTGTATATGCTAGTTGTTTCTTATTTCCCTACAGGTGGTTTCGCCTGTGTCTGGTACCTGTTCTGGCAGTTCCTTGTGTATGATACCCCAGGGAGTCATCCTACCATATCCAAGGCAGAACGGAATTATATACACAGCAGTACTGGTGTCACTACAGCGAGCAGAAAGTCGAACAAAGTATAATGAACATAAATTTATCATTCGTTGTTTAATATGATGTGATTCAGCATGTGATTTGTCAACAAGGCATGTTTGAAATGAATTGTCTTTTACGCCCGTTCAGAATTTCAAACCGCAGTATAAAATTACGACGTCGGCAACCATATTGCCGTGTTTGATGTTATGCTACTAACTACATCATCGTGACGTCAATTACCCTTTTGAGTGAGTTAATGTAAATCTGGGATAAAAAAAATATCAAATAAAGTTCAACAAATAACTTTTTTCTTGAATATCAGCTTTTCGAGTTGATATCTAACAAAAATTCAAGACGCTATTCATTATTATTAAATGTTACTATTCATGTTTTTGTACCAGCGAATTTTGATTTATTTTATACATGCTTAATTCTGGTAAACCATATCTGATGTACGAAACCTTATTTATTTAATGTTATGCATTATACTTTAATACATGGCGATATTTTATATTGTTATAAATATCAAGGGTTTCTAGATCATCTTGACAATTCCTAACTTTTACTTACAATGAATTTATAATTAATGAGATTTGCTGTAACCTACATGTTATATTTCAATTCGTTAGGAAAACGTTAGGTTAAGAAATATATACACATACCTATACTATAAAATTAATTATTGAATTGTAGGAAAAGAGCGTCTCCGCATGTAGATTCTACGAAAAGCTTTGAATTACTCACTCAGATCTTAGGTTTCAAAATCTAGTGCCTTAGTATCAATGACGAGTCCTTAAGGACAGGGAACAACTGTATTATGTTATTTAATTCATCATTTGGTTTTATTGTGTCTATTCCTAGATTTGTTTTTAAAGTGAAATTCATTCATGTCTCTTTTACAATCTTGCACTTGATCATTTTTTGAAACAATTAAACATTGACAATTACGAAATTGGTTGAGTTATGAAGTCAGTCAAATCTTTAAGTCTGTGTTAAGACATATATTTCAACCAGTTCTTTCATTTCATTCTACATTGTATATAAACGTCCTATAAATGTTTGTCATTTTTTGCAATCAATATGAATATCGATTTAATACAATTATAATATAATACATAAAATATGATAATACAATATTTATAAATACCAGTTAATAATATGTGTATTTCGTTGCTGTCAGGTTTATAATGTCCCATGGAAAGCTATACTGACATCACCAGCGGTATGGTCCATAGTTGTCTTAAATTTCACCACGTCATGGGGATATTACGTCACGTTGACCTCAGTCCCTACTTACATGAACAAAATACAGAATTACGATATTGCACAGGTACGTATGACAATGAAAATATCCAACCTGCTGATTACATTACGTGAATTGAGAGAAGGGACAGTTTCCCTAGTTATATTTGTCTTTGATAAGAATGGTATATTCCTTTTATTACCAGACAGAATTAGCGAAATATGTAGATTTATAGCGACATTGCATATCCGCTGAATTCAATTTTGCAGTAATCCTCCTTCGGAATTTAAACATTATTTGTTTCTCAACAATTTATGTACAATTAGCGTTATGATTACACTTTTAATGTCTCCAGTACTGTTGCTATATTGTACAGGATGGACTGTTGGTGGCTCTCCCAGACCTCATCAATCTTATTCTCGGACTTCTCACTAGCTGGATGTCTGACTTCATACGTCAAAGACAGTACTTGTCAACAGTAGTTGTCCGCAAACTGACCACTGTGATTGGTATGTAAAATATTTTGAAAAAAAATCCTTTACATTATGTAAGAAATTGAAACTTTTAACAATATCAAGTATTTATATACGCGTCGGTAAAAAAGGTTAAATTTGGTTGAAATTACAAAATATATCAACATTAACAAATATTACCTAATCTTAAATCAAGATTGAAGTCAATTTAATGAGGGGAAAACATGCAAGAAATAATTAAACGGATATTTTTTTAATGGAACAAAGGCAATATACTGAAAATTCTGCTTTATTAGCCAAATCTAACTTAAAATCTTGGTCCATTGAAGTAGTGTCATGTTCTAAAATGAGGACATAATTTGCCACACAGAAACGATCATCAAACACAACTAATGTCTAAGTTATATCACATGCAATTAAAATAGTTCCCATTGGCAATAATGAAGGCTAAACAGAAGCATGATCGTATATAAAACCCACCCGTGTCCCCCATCCAAACCAAAATAAAAACAAAGGTATTCTTATACAGTAAATATCAAAATGTTCACAATGTATTTGACGTTCATTACCTTAGCATTTGGTGATGAAAGCGACTTCATTTACGCGTAATTATATAGACAATAATACCAACATATCAACAAAATCATAATCCAACATCTTATTCATCAAAGTAGGGCAAATTATGAACAAAAGATGATTTGCATGGAAACTGCTGAAAAAACTACAAGAATAATAAGATCAGGCGTTCCGGAAGAGTAAGTTTCCTCTGCCTCATCGACAACACTCGCAATGTAAATCTAGGCCAGACAGACTAAACCAAGGTCCGGATTAGCCTTATAGTCACTTTGATAAATACAATGGGAGTATACATGCAGAAACGGTAGGCGACAGTCGTATATTTACCCTCTTCAGTAATGTATTTCAGGACTTGCATCAGCAGCAGCATTACTTCCATTCATCACTCTGGCCGGCTGTAACCATGTGGTAGTAGTGATGCTAATTGTTGTAGGAAACGGAATGCTGGGAGTTTCGTGGACAGGCCTGGGATCTAACATATATGACATCGGCCATAACTACGCAGGTGATTGAATACTCAGATATAATCATACTTCTAAACTGACTCGTAATATTATTTCCAGTTTAATGGCATATTTCGCATATCGCTATCTACATGTATATCATTTGGTGACGTAAGAAAAAAAGTTGTATAATTTCAAGCAGATGTTAGAATCTATTGATTTTCATTTTAGCACCTACCGAATATCTACTGACGTTTGAAATGGAACACGCATCATATTTCTCATTTGGGAAGTAAAATTCAGAATGAAGTCTTTTGATTAGTTATTAGACCTCAGAGTTATCTGCAATATATCCTTCATTTACTACATTCCTGTTTAACGTTTCCTTTTATAATTTTGAGTAGAAAGACGATTTAGCTTCGCTTTTATTCTCGATCTTCAAATCAATTAGGGTTGCTGAACCGTTTACAACAGAATAAGTGAATAATTCGTTTTAATTAATGTTCAGAGTTAGATACAGTAAAATCAAACAATGAATTAAACTGATACAGCTGAATAGTCCTTGTAGGACTCTTCAGTGATGCTAAGGGCCTAGCTGGAATACTCAATATGCATTCCTCGACATCAATGTCAAGTCATTTAATGTCACCCATAAGCGAACATAGGGCACCATGTATAACATTTTTCAATGCAATTTTATTATTTGTTATTGTCGGGTACAATAATTAATGAAATTGCATCACGCAGCTATTTTGTCTTCCTACGACACATCACTAATGTTAAGCGCATTAGTTATTGAAACCTACAAGACGACTAAGGATTGAAAAAAGGTTCGGCAGAATGACAAAGAATCCAAGTGAAATTTGTAAGCATTCAAATTTGACAAGAAAATGTTAATTTGTCAAAACAATTCAAATTCGATGAAACTAGGGCAAAATAAAAACACAAAACAGGTTTACGTGCAAGCTAATGAACAAGGAGAATAAAACCAAGTGTAAGGTAAGCGATTTCTGCTTCATCGAAGACAAATGCCATGTAAATCTTGTCCAATCCAGATAAATAATGTTACGTTCCCAAGTGAGAACAAGGTAAACAACAATGAAACCACCGATAATAATAACAGTACTTTACTTTATATCGCGGAAGGAAATATATTCATGTTTTCTGGAATACAATACTTCAAGATTGAATCGTGACAATAAACTTGAAATCATACAGAGTTACGTCCGGAAAGGTTTCAATAATCAAACAGATTAGGTTATGAATTTATAGACATGGATGAAGCAAATGATTAACATAAAAATCAGCCTCACTTTTTAATTTTGAAGGTACAGTAAGTATGAAATAATTTTTAAATTCTGATCCATCGTGCGTTTTAACGTTACGTACTCGTTTTGTATCTGCAGGTACATTATCTGGAATCTCTAATTTATTTGGAAATACTCCAGGGATAATAGCACCTTACGCTGTTGGCCTTATTACGAATAATCAGGTTCGTATTCGATCTTTATTACACTGTTAGGTGAACGTGTAAAAGTTGTAATCAAAACTAAATATACCGGTGTGATATACACGAAAATACTCGAATGTGCGATGGAATGAAAATGATCTCAATACGATATACACTATTTTTATATTTATAAAAAAGAACTGGGGTCACGCGCAAATCTCATGAAAAATAGGCTATTTTGTATTCCACTTTCCGCTTCAACGATGTTGATGATTTATACCATATTTTAGATACAATGGTAAGTATACATAGTGATCTTTTGTTAATTGTGTTCATATGTCATACAATTCGGATATCGCTGAAATAACAAATAACTGATTTATTACACACGCGCATATATATAGATATATATAAGTAAAGCCATACACAACTATTAGTATAATTATTGACTTGTGTTTGATTCTATATTATTCAAGCATTCTTAGTTTCTAACATTCTCTATTTATGATCACAATCTTGCCCTTAGATATAGATATTAAAACGCAAACATTGTAAATTGATAATACACATTACAGTAAGGTTAATAAGAACCCAGATCATGATGTTTTTTACAGGAAACCATGGCGAGATGGGAGATAGTGTTTTACATATCCATGGTTTTCTATTTGCTTGGACTCATCACCTATCTCATATTTGGCAAAGCAACAGAACAACCGTGGAACAGGTCTGCAAATGAAACGATCGTCGATAAAGAAAAAGAAAAAAATCAGAATACAATCAAATTATGAATGTCTATAAATAATTTAGCTAGTAAACATGAAGAAATTTGGTCGATATTTTATAATGTCATAATACCCTACCCTCTCAAATTTATTTGTCATTTTTTGTTACGATGATTGTAATTAAAGAAGAAAAAAGAAGTTGATATTTTTTCTTATTTAACTCTTCTATCATTCTCTATTAAATCTGTACGTCACTTTGTTCGGATTTCTGTATGTCTGGGTTACATACTTTTTCAACTGGTTCATATTATTGAAATAACAAATGCCCGACCAACATTTCTTTTAACCCGAAGTCAAAGATTTAAAACCATCGATATCTACTTATTCGTATTGATAGGGCGTTATTTAAGGGAATAACATATTTACATTCCATTTTGTTGGATATCATATCTAGAATGAAGCCGGATAAGTGTTCCGCTGCAAAAATACAAATTGTTGCATTTTGGTGATTTGACAATTAAGATGAAAATTTGACTTTATTTGTACAACCATATACTCTCCCTTAAAACAGCTTGGTGGTTTTCTTTGAGATACCTGTCTGAATGATTGATCATGTGATAAAAAGATCTTGATTTTTTTTTTTTTTTTTTCGGTTGAGCATGTCTAAAGCTTGTTAGAATAATAACAACAATAATAATAATAAAAACGCATGCACAAATTTTACTATCTTTTTACCTCTCGATTTGTCTGCAAAGCTAATATGTGTTATGATTGTTAACCCTTACATTGATCTACAGTGCAATTAGAGAGCTAAAAGTGATATTGTATAGTGATACGTTACCATTCTATGTCACATAGATGATCAACTTTTAAATTAGAGATGTATTTTACAGGAAAGTTTATGTATTCTATTCATAAATATTTACTTCGTCCGTTAACAAAGTTTATTTACTACATGTTAAATTTATTTGCATCGAAAATACTTTTGAAATGACATGTATTCATGCCATAATCATTAACATTTTGATGAGCTTATCATCGTTGTACTAGTGATTGCTCCTGACATACATAACAGGTGCTATTTTGGTACATAGATAATGGAGGACATATGTTGCAAATTACGATGTTGGTAATATCTATTAAATAACAATTCGATCTTGCACATGTGAATTGTAATTTAAATATGTTACGTATTTACGAATTTGAAAGTATGTGACAGTTTTTGTGTCTTTAATAATATTTAACCGGTCGGACAGCTATGCGTTACATCAATAGAGTAAGCGAGAGAGACAGTTTACTGGATTGTCAGCAACAAACGGATACGATAAAGATAAAATCCATGTACACAAAGGTATGTATCACTTTTTTAATTACATTCATGCATGCTCTATTTTGTTATAAACATGTTAAATCTATCATAATGCCGGACAACCAATAGTTTTGTAAGTTGTCATACAATTAATAAAAATATACAAGTTCTATTATATCAGGTCAACAGGAGATGCAGAAAGTAGAATAATGGAATATAGGTCTCCAGTACGTAGAGTACTCCTTAAGCCTAACGTTCGCTTGTTCGAACCAACATGAAAACTTAACGTTTCCTCTATATTGCAGAGAGTTATATAATTCTGTCTATCATTTTGAAAATCATGAAACAGTACAAACGGTTATGTTTAATTTACCTGTGTTTGCTTATGTCCCTGCGCCTAACGGAGAATTGATAAAGGTTGCTGATATATCAGCACACTAGTGCTTTCCACTTAACACTGATAACACTATCTTAAATGTCCACATAAGACTTGCCGGGTTATTTCTGTGTAACCAACATATCTTCAGCTTAGTTTTAAGTAATAAGGTATATAAGTGTTTTCCCTTTTACAGAATATATTCGCCTCGCATTAATCTTGTTTGTTAACCTTGTCTGTAATATTTCGGATGGACTGGGTTTAACGAAACAAAAAACTAATCGTGCACAGAGATCTGACCTACGTTATCTTTGGCTTTAAGATATATCAACAATTCATTTTGATTTCAGGATATGGCGCCTGTCACAATTGTCTTTCATTGGGTGTTTTCATCTCTATGCCCTTTGGTTTAACCTGAGTATTGCCATAGTTCCGATGGCAAATCATACAGATTCCAAACCCATCTTTCATCACACAGAGGATGTATGTCCTAGACAATCGCTCAACTACACAAAAACAAAAGTCAATCAGGTAGCTGCTTTTGAATAATTAAAGATGTACTCCTCTGATATTCTGACCGGAAGTGGGACATGACTCAATATCTAATGAATTCCAACATCATATCTTGTGCTTTTGTGTTTTTAGATACTTTGTGATCTAAAGTTATACTTTTAAGTTGAAAACACGTTTATATCACGTTTTGGAGAAATTTCGCTCGTGGAACACATTTTTTGACGGTTAATAGCGTCAACTATATCAACATTTTCTGGTTGCATAGGTAGTTTTCTTTAGTTCTTGAAGTCATGGGTAGATTTCAACTTAATTTTGCCTGAATCATTGCCACAATTAAATAACGACTTTGGTATGACTTCCCGTATATACGAGTGTCCGATATAGATTGTAGAACATGCTTTGTACATATAAAAGATATTGTTGGCATTAAAATGAATTTAAAAGAGGTATACCTGTACGATCTTTTCCTTTCAGAAAAGAAATATTTTAATTATCTTAATGTTTTCATCAAGTTTGGTTAATCGGTGGACAACGAAAACTACATACAAATATCGATTCAGGTACCTTTGTGTGTGTGTGTGTGTGTGTGTGTGTGTGTGTGTGTGTGTGTGTGTGTGTGTGTGTGTGTGTGTGTGTGTGTGTGTGTGTGTGTGTGTGTGAGGGTGCTTGTGTGAGGGTGCGTGTGTTTGTATGTATGGTACTTAATGATCTGTGATGGAAAGATACTGCACATTGCTTGTTTTCCCCTGAACATATCTTTCCCCCTGCTACATTTTTAACAACTTATTAAATGCCGTTTTACATATTCCTTCGTATCGTTATATGTGTTACTGCTGTTTTAATGTATGTTTTATCGAATGTCATTTTTGAAGTTACTATAAATTGCCTCACGAAATAGTTGAATAATCAAAACAAAGACCGTGACAAAATAAAATAGAAAATAGGATCTCCTAAGAACTTTGAAAAAATCTCATTCAGACAAATCATTTTAGAATTTTCAGAATTTAAAGCAGGCTGTCCATTCCCAATTCCGAAAGGTTCTACTTGCATCGAGTACTATATACATTATCAGCAATTAATTTGATTAATATTAAAATAGTCATGCATCCATATGTTTTTAAAAGCTGTGAAAAAGTCATAGATAAATATGCATTCGAGCCAATTAAAGTCATACTTTACCTGGCATTGAGACTGGTGAATTTCTGCCATATTGACCCTGAAAATTCTGGTTTTCAGGGCTGCGATTATCCATAATTATCTATTTTAAGGCTTTCTATGGACATGAACGTTCTGAATTTAAGGTATGGACAACATTGTCTTATTTAAAAAAAAAAAAACAAGAACCTGAAGATTTAAAATATAGATTATTTATAACACAATGTATGCATCTCAATGTATGCATCTCTAAGTTATAAGAATGCTGTGAAAAGTCATACTAAACTTTGCCGTGCAAATTATTCATTAGTTTCTTATTTGTTTTCTTGGTAATGAACAGTTTAGTTTTAATATTTGGCAAGTTTACTCACAGACCTGAAAATCACATTGTTTGGGTTTTGCCATCGCCGTAAAGGATTAATAACAGTATTTTCAGGATCACAAAAGAAGAATTTTTCAGGAACACGAACAAGTAATTTTCACTGTTGTACAAAAGTAATTTCTACTGCCATAAAAGTAAATTCCACTTCATTATACTTTTTCAGTGTCAGGAAAATCATTTACAGCCCATATTATTGATGTGTATAATTAATTTGCTGACTGGGTCTCATTTAGACAATTACAACAGAATAATTCTTCAAGAATGTTTTTCCTGGCGCGTCCAGAGATTCATTTCCAAAATGGCGATCTTACATGAAATATATTGATATTACAGATATTACCTTAAGTCAGCAGGTAATAGATAGCTGAATATTTTTACTGTATTTAAAATGTCAGCTTTTAACTGAAGTGTTTATAAACGATACAAATATTTAAGTTTTAGCAATATTTAGATACATTTCGTAAATTAACAGAATGGAAAAGCGTTCAAAATTATCTAGATAACGTTTTTCAGTGACCAAATAAATCAGTCCCACACGACTGGAGTTTTTAAAAAGAGGATCCATATACTTTTGTGTTTGCGTCATTTCCTCAACTACACCTACGAAGAAGCAACACAAACGATGTAAAATATAAATTAAAGTTGATTAATGTCATATTCTGGTAATATCGATTTATTATCATCATTATTCGTATCATCATATCAATACTTATTTAGTTATTAGAAGCAAACTGTTAATTAATGTTTGTACTGTGTATAACAATACTTAACACGTCGCCGTTGCGATGTTCCTGATAAAAAGGAATGGTATGGAAGTAACGCGCTCGCCTTTCACCTTATCTTGATAACGTTGTTCAGGGTTAAAATCCCAAAGTAAATGTGAAAAGGTATATGGGTCACCTGGCTAACCATGTAGGTTTTTACTCTGACATAACCAGATCCGGGCCAATAAAACTGATTGATATAAGGTGTTGTTTCGCAATTGTTATAAACTAAATAAAATTTATGTTTAGAAAAAAATGTATTGTTTGTTAGCTGTGTTTCAGCCTATTTTTGTATTCATATCAATACAGTTTTATAAATTGATAGAACTAAATACTTATAATATTCAGAATATTATTTATTAATAGAATGGAAAAGCGTTAACAATCATCAAGATACATCTCCTACCAAGCCAACTTCAAGGTCCATGTAAATTAATCCAAAGACTAGTTTATTACGGACAGAGGGAACCATTATACTATGTATTTTCATACTTGTATCATTTATTCAACTACCCGTAAGAATCTGGCAACATACTGGTACAGCTAGTAATTTTCACGGGGAATCTT